CCCCCACCGTCCTCCTGGAAACAGCACCTTCCCTGTTTTGGAGAAGGGCTCTCCACTGCCATGTGGTCTGAATGGGGCTGCTGTTTTCCTACGAGATCCTGCCTCTCTGGCCACAAGACTGTTCCCGGAATGAACACCCGTCTAAGCTGGGCCAGTGAGTGGTGGGCCAAGTCCACCTGGCAACAGAGACACAGAGCCAGAAGGTAAAGACATCTTAAGGGAGACCCACAAAAACAGGCCCCCAAATCTTTGGAGCTGAGTCTCAGAGCTTCCCTCACAGCCTACTAATGAATCCCCTTCTTTGTTTATTAAGCCAGTTTCAATTTCTTAAAACCAAAAAAACCCTTTTAACTGTCAAGAGAGGAAGTCATGTTCCTTGTCAGAACCACTGTATCCCACTTTGTTACCTTTCTGTCCAAAAGAAATAGCCTTGTGCTAGTCACATGGGAAATACTCTAGGAAGATGCTTAGGAATAACAGAGTGATCAAAAATCAATACTAAATTGATGACAAAATTTGTACTCAATTGTGTAATGTCCTCGTGAACATCAAACATGACAGGACCTCATAGAGACCATCACTTTTATCTTGAAAACACATGTTCCTATAAACAGGAAAACCCAACACTGATTACTCAAAGGCTTTTTCCATAGAAGGTACAAAAAGACACCTAATATAGACCTGGTGTTAAATATAATCTTTCCTAACAACAGGGACTGCCTGCTTAAATTTAGCAGCCCCTCACGCCTCAGAACTACACAGGAAGGTACCAAAAATGCAACTTGGGCTTTCTTTGGCCAGAGGCAGCTGGCCAAAAGAAGTGGAAAACCTGGAAGATATGGGAAGCATGTGCCCTTCCCACTTACGTGGGGTATCCTCGCACCCCCTGCTCGGAGCACACGTCTGAGCTGGCCGTGCAGTCCACTTTAGCCACGTAGATTTTGGCATCTTCCATGCTGTTGTACTTGTCTCCCAGTTCATTCCAAGTAGGCTGCAGCCGCTGGCAGTGCCCACACCTATAACAAGGTGAGAGTAACAAGAGATGGGTTAGCTCACAATCAGTACAAAACCTCACTTCCCTGCTTTCAACCCACCCACCTGAAAGTCCCTGCAGTGTTCTTATCATGACATCCAAATTTAGCAAGGTACTGTGCTAGGTCCTCCTTGAGGTGCCCCTACTGACCTCCCCCCTCACCTCTGTGCCCCAGCTGCCTCCTTCCCTTGCAGTCTCCCCCTGTACTACACTGCAGTATCTGCAGTTTTCTGAAAGGGCCAGAGCCTGGCTTGCCCTGGAATCACTACATGCGCTCTGACGCTTCCTCCCTAAACCCACCTAGCTCCGTGGTCGGCAAACTGCGGCTCGCAAGCCACATGCGGCTCTTTGGCCCCATGAGTGTGGCTTGTCCTAAGCCTTAGGAGTACCCTAATTAAGTTAATAACAATGTACCTACCTATATAGTTTAAGTTTAAAAAATTTGGCTCTTAAAAGAAATTTCAATCGTTGTACTGTTGATATTTGACTAATGAGTCTGCCGACCACTGACGTAGCTAATTGCTGTTTGCCCTTCAGGTTTAGTTCAGGTGTCACTTCCTCCAGTCCTGACTTCTCAGGCTATTTGGTGCCCATTCTCTTCTCTTCCTCTACGGATGCAGCTTAGCACTTTTTGCTATAATTGCCCCGTTATTATTTAGTCAGGTCTCCTCTACCATTTACCCAATATCTGCAAATGCAAGCCTGCCCCAAAATTAAATCAATTCTGCATACTCTCCAATGAGAAGCTTTAAAAAAGTTTGTGTCCACTCACACTTCTAAATTTGATATAATCAAATATATGCTTATAATAGTCATTGTATGAATTTAACTACAGATATTTTTAAATCACCGATCATTTAAAATAATGTTAACTTGGAATTATTGCTTTGTGCTGTTCTTTACATGTCTTAACAGTATCAGCATCTTCCCCATCAACTAAATCTACTATCATATAGCTGATCTTCTTTATTGACTGCTGTCTGCAGGGCCATGATTGAATTCTAGAAACTTTATCTCAAGCTTCAAGCACAGTCATGTATCATTAGGGCACATGGTACTTTTTTCCCCATTCACCTGCTAAGTGTGCATGCATGATGTCTACAGTGTAACTGCTTGCTGTGCTGCTTTCTAAAGTGATCTTTCATGCTTTGAGGATGCTTGCTTATCCTCAAAATAATTTTTCAATAAAATAATTTCTCTTCTTTCCTGACAGATGATCTCTATAATACATACCTAAAGGAAGCACACAAAAAAGTGTGCTTAAGCCAATGTATCTTCCCTAAGCAGCTCTTTCTTGGGCAGCTAAGAGAATCCCTGCTTTATAAGATATTCCAAAACAATATGATTCCCTCTTTTCTGAAAGATAATTGTGAGGGAATTATATCTATGTATATGTAGTAAAAGGGCCGGGATGACAGCATTATCCTTTTCACAGCTGTGTTCCCTGTATCTAGCACATGCCTGTGGTATACTTAAGTGTTTGGCAATTTCTCAGTGATAGATCCACGGGTGCCATGTAGTTAGCACTTCTAGTTTGGGACCTTTCTGGCTACAGCATGAACCTCTGAGACAGCAGCTGCATTCAGAAGGCGTCTTGTGGCCATGCAGCAGAGCAAAGCTACCTGGTCCTCCCAAGGGGGTGGCCCCAACCTTCACCTCGCTGTCACCACCAGGTTTAGTGTGACCTGCAAACCAGCCCTACAGAAGATACTGGCACAAAATCTACAGCAGGGCTACCCTATATCTGTCAAGTTCAGAGCAAAAATACAAAGATCAGTGTTTTCACTGCAGGGTACCCCTGATCTCAAATCACATGTGGGCTTCCAGTATCCCACAGAAACTGAAACTAGAATGAGATGAGGGATTGGGGAGAATCCACTGCATATTCTATCGAGGTCCAATCGGCTGTTAAAGTGTTACTTTTAAATGTCATCATAGAAAACCCCACATATCTGTTTAAATATTTTGTAGTAGACTTTTCAGAAGCAAAATAAAAACTTTGCCTTAGCTGGTATGGCTAAGTGGATAGAGTGTCGGCCTGTGGATTGAAGGGTCCCAGGTTCGATTCGTCAAGGTCACATGCCCAGGTTGCAGGCTCCATCCCCAGTGGGGGGCGTGCAGGAGGCAGCCATCAATGATTCTCTCTCATTGATCAATGATTCTCTCTCATCTCTCAATGATCTCTCTCTCCCTCTCTCTTCCTCTCTGAAATCAATAAAAAATATTTTTTTAAAAAAGAAAGGTTATTCCTTAAAAACAAACAAACTTTAAGTTACTTTTTCTGGGGGCATCCGCCTAAAAGATCATAAACCACATAAATGAAAAAATAATTTACTTAATAACAAGAGCTCAAATTTGCCAGTCTTCTCCCTCACTCAGTCCAGGACTAGCTGGTGAGTATTACAGATTCTCCAAAATTAAAACTCCATTCCATGCATGGACTTATGTCTACGTAGTTTGTTTTCTTCAAAAAAATAAAGAGAAAATAGAGTCAGATTTATTCCACTGGAATTAGCTCCAATTAAGTATTGTACATAACTGAAATAGTTACTCTAAGAATACTCCTTCCCAAAGTAACTATTAATACTGAATAATTATTTTATGTACTTTTCTCTACCACAGTGGTTCTAAAAACCCAAGTCAGTTGGTTCTTGGGAACTTGAAACACTGTTAATACATGATAGCTGTGACTCAAACCCGCCCCCGAAAGTTGATTTAACTCCAAATAAACTGAATAAAATCCAGTAATAACTTGAATATGGGGAAAAAGGGAAAAAAGTTCCTCCAACTTCGCCAGCACATTTTCTGAATAGGCCGTTTTTCTTAGGCATCTTCCCTCTGTTCCTCCTTAAATCCCTTTCCCACATCTCAATGAGCTTCTCCCCCACACTGGGAAAGGAGGCCAAATTCTGCAATAAAGCCTGCAAACTGCCTTGTGCCCAAACACTAGCTTTCTGCTCTGCCCCGTGAGAACTTCCCTTCACTGCGGCATCCAGGAAGAAAAACACCACCTGTGCCGGTGTGAATGACAGGAAGTCCTCCGCTAGGACAACTCCCAGGGTAGGGGTCTCTGAGGGTAGCCCCTGCCCCAGAACCACGGCAAGAGGTAGCGTCCTTCCTACGCGGCGAGTTCTGCCATCTCACACTTTCTGGATGAGCAGGCCCCAAGAGAGCAGAGGGGGAGGAGCCAGAAGACAGCCTTGAGCTGAGGGCCAGTGGGCTCGGTCACAAGAGCACAGCCCCATCCACTGGAGCTGCGGGGGCGTCCCCGGGCGGCGCAGGAACCCTCTTCTGCCTGGGCCACCCTTCCCACCCTAGGAGCACACAAAGTAGGAATTCACACCTCTGTGAGTTCCTGTTTTCCCATTAAACCCTCAGGCAGACGATTAGCCCTGCGGCGCGTGCACAGAGTCCGCGGCGGGA